CTTTACCAGAAAGCTTTTTTTTGTTTTTTTTTAGTTTCTGGGGATCAGATCTGGTCCTTCTTTGTTCTGAGCCACATCCCCAGCTATTTTTTTTTTTTTATTTTTAGGCAGAGTCTTGCTAAGTTTTCCAGGCTGGGTTTGAACTTGTAATCCTCCTGCCTCAAGACCCTCAGAGTGTGGAGATTATAGGTGTGCACCACTATGCCTGGCCCAGAGGATTCTTAATTAGGGCCTGGCTCTGAGGTGTACTGAGAGGCAGTATGGGGCAGGAAGAAGAGCTCTAGGCTCTGGTGGCAGATGTGGGTTCCAGGGCTGCCCCCTCCCTTCCTAGCTCATGTAGGGCAGGTGGGGCAAATGGCTTGGTGCCCCTCCTCAGCTGTCTGCTCTAGAAGTGAAATTGTACTCATTTGGACTCTAAAGGCCTCAAGAGAAGGCCATCAAAACAAGTCTGTAAAGAAGATAGGGCAGATATCATTTTGCAGATGAGGAACTGAAGTTCAGCCGTGTCCTCGATCACACCCGGCTCATCCCTGTCCCATGGTGGGGTGCACCACCTAGGGCCACACTCACAAGAGGTCTGAAAAGTGGATTTGAGCAAAGCCTAAGGCAAAGCGGGAGGTGCACTCTGGACTAGATTAGTGCCTCCCTTTAATTCTCAAAGTCAATAGCTGTATTGGGCCCATATCAAGAGCCCATAACGGCTTGCTTTTGCTCTGTCCTTAGTTATTTTACCCGGAGGTAGTCAGTCATTTTCAATTTTTGAAGTTCTTTTTGTCTGGTATTTGCTTCCATAGTTCTAATTTTTACTATTTGGAAGTTCTAAATATTACTATTTTTGGATATAGCAATTTTACTTCCTCTTCCTTGTACTCCCAAATTTGTTACAGGACAAATTTTAGTTAAATGCCTGACTATGAGTAGAAAATATTATTGACAACTGAGCTATTTAGTGTACCAGGATTAAATTTTTTTGCGTGTGACCTTTTCTTCCTGTTGTTAGAAATTGAATCATTTTAAATTTATTTTATCTTTTGGATAGCTATTAGTTATCACTAATTTATCACAGACTCTTCACAGACAAATTAATCTCTCTAAGTGTACAAACACACCAAGAATCTGTAAGTCCCCTTCCTCTTCTTATCTCCATGAGGACATCATAGCTGGAACCTAGCATCTTCCTGATACAGTCTGGCTGCAAGCAAAGCTGTCACTTCCAAGGTTCTTGAGAAAACTTGGTATAGAATTTTTTTTATACTCAGAGATGTGCAAGTGTTGGGCTGGTACTTGCACATCTCCAAGAGTGTTTCCTTAAATTCTTTTATCCTAGGGGCCTTGCTCACTTCTTCCCAGCCTTGGTCTTGCTCAGCTTCCTCCTTCGTCGGATCCCTTTTTTCCTGTACCCTGTGCCTTCCTTTTTCTTGCCTAGCATGCGAGTGAGGATGGTACTGCTTATTGGTAGCCCAAGAAAAGTTCTGATTGCAAAAGCTGAAGTATGGTTTCTACTGAATGCATATCACTTTTGCACTGTCATAAAATTGAAATACCACAGGTCAAACTGTCATAAATTGGGGACCATTTGTATTTGAATCTAGAATCTCTTTGGTTCAGTTATCTCAGAGAATAAATATCCCGTTGAGCAGAAGTTTAAAGGAGGAGAGGGAACCTGGGTTTCTAATTCCTTGGCTGAGATTCGACTAATCCCCCGACTTTTGAGCCTGTGCCGTGTCTCTGCGTTTTGTGACACCTGCTCTCTCCACATTCCAAGCCTTTTGATTTTCCAGTGCAAGGAGGCTTGCTTCTTGTGGGCAGGTATCTTGACAGGCAACCAGATTTCAGCTTTCTTTGTTCTAAGCTAGTTACCTCTTCTTCTCTTCACTATAGAGCATGTAAATATTTTGCTATCTCACATCCACTGTTGGCACCATATTCTCTTTCTCCTTATGGATCTGTATTTTAAGAAACATTTTTAGGAATTGTTTTCATGGGGCTCTAGCAAGAAGCCAAGATGAAAACTTGTGATCAATCTGGTATGTTCAATTAGAAGTGTTTTTTTTTGTCTTCTCTAAACTTTATTTTGATCCAATTTCCCACACAATTTTATTCACGGCTGCTTTAAAGATTGAGTTCGGTAGTAATTCCTAGTAAACTTGATTCCTTGCAGCTAATCTCTAGTAACTATTTCCTAATATTGTAATCTATAGAATTCTTATTTCACCGGAGCTTAATGTGACCCAGTACCTCACCCTAGTTCAGTTTAGATTGTCCTTTGTCTCTTGTGTGCCTTCTTTGCACTCCCAACCGTGCTGCAGGCGGGTCTCACCTTCTCTTGTATCTCATTCACCGATCTTCACAGGAAGATGCGGAGAGAACATGAGTTGGAAGAAAGCTGTCTGAAGATTCCGAGCTTGGCAAGTTGCTAGGGCAGGTCCTGAGGGTAGAAGGCTTACTGTGAGTAGCACAGCTGGGGAAGAAAACACCTTGCCTTCTAGATCCAAGTCAGGGTGCCAAGGCCAGAGAGGAGAGGCAGGCTGGGATACGGGCATGTGGGCCATGTGCCATGGTGAGGAAGAGAGAGCAGTTAGCAGTCTTGGGTGAACATGTATGACCATGGGATGGCAGAACTCGGGCGCCTCAGTGTGCCAGGCTGTTCATAATCTATTCACTCTGGCCTGGGCTCCCTCTAGTAACTGTGGCGATCCTTGGCAACCTCTACGTACTGGTGTTCACATCATACTGGCCTGTCACTGTGCTCATTTTCATCTGGCTGGCCTTTGACTGGAAGACCCCTGAGCAAGGTAAGGGCCCCACTGGGGTGGGTTGCCACATGCCACTTGCTTTTCCCTCTTCTGGCCTTTTGATTCTGAGAGGCTCTGGCCAATTCCCCAGGCAGCCTCTCAGTCTGTCCCTCCCTGGGCCAGAGAAGCTGAGGGAAATGGTCCTTTGAATGTGTTGGAAAAGGCTACCCAAGCTGAACTGCAGTGGGCTAAAGGAGGGGCAACTAATGAAGTAGAAGCTTAATCTGCTATAAATTGGCCTGCACATGCTTACGCTGGTCGCTACTTACATGGCCAGGAAAGAGCAAGAGGTGAGAGCACCCTGTGCCAGGCCCAGAAGGCCTGGCAGAGGGAAGTGGGATTGAACACAGCTTGGATGCATTGTGCTGCTTACAGGTGGCCGCCGATTAAACTGGGTAAGGCGGTGGAGACTGTGGAGATACTACTGCAATTACTTCCCTATCAAGGTGAGCAGCTTGGCCCTGTTTCTGGTGCCAGCAGTTGGGTCATAGAGGCCTATGAGAGCGGCTCCCCTCTGAGAGTTGTACATTACCCAACATGCATGGGGGGGACCTGGCCTAACGAGGAGACCATTGCCCTGGCTGTAGCACCCCCTGACTCCACTTTCCTCTACAGCTTTTGAAGACGCATGATATTTCCCCCAGCCACAACTACATCCTTGTTTGCCACCCTCACGGGCTCATGTCTCATGCAGTCTTCGGCAATTTTGCCACTGAAGCCACAGGCTTCTCCAAGATCTTTCCTGGCATCATCCCCTATACGCTCACACTAGGAGCCTTTTTCTGGGTGCCTTTCTTGAGAGAATATGTATTGTCTACAGGTGAGTGGGCTCAAAGTTGGGAAAACAGGTGAGTGCAAGGCCAGCTCTGCAATCTTCTCTGGCTGCCCTTGGCTCACCTCCCTGAGAGGGGACTCCTTGCTCTCCCCCACCATTGAGGAGGGAATGATTGAGGGTGGAATGTTAGGAAGATTGGGAAGTGGCCAGTAACCTCTTGGCTTTTTCTACCCACCAGGGGTCTGCTCTGTGAGCCAATCCTCCATGGACTTTCTACTTACCCAGAAGGGCAAAGGAAACATGCTCATTGTGGTGGTTGGTGGCCTGGCTGAGTGCAGATACAGCCTGCCAGGGTCTTCCACCCTGGTCTTGAAAAAACGATTCGGCTTTGTACGTGTGGCCCTTCGACATGGGTAAGGACAGCTCTGGTCAAAAGGAAGGGTGGTGGAGGATCCAAAAGCCCAGTGGTGAATGAGGGAGGAGTTTTGAAGAAATGGTATCCAGAAGGAGGAGGAAGTATATGATTATTATGAATTAGATCCATCATAAAATGTATATAATTGTTATTTATCAATTTAAAATAATTAAAAGAAAAAATATGGGGAGGAAAGCCAGCACTGGGTTGAAGTAGAAGGGCCAGGTCCTAGAGGCATATTTGCTCAAGGGGAAAGAGTTGAAGGTCAACCCTCAGTGTCCTCCCTCTCTGATCTGGGCCAGTTCCTCTACACAAGGGGAACAACTGGCTACAACTCCAGTTCAGAGACATGATGCAAGTGTGGTAAAAGGGAAGTCATGTGAAATAGCCCTCGAGTCTTATCATGCAGTGATTCATGCCTAGGGGTTCCCAGGAGTGCCTGGGCTTGCCTTTTTTAGGTTGCTACTGCTTTGTTCCTACAGGTAGCCTGGGCTAGGCCACAGACCCCTCCACAACCAGGACCTAGGCACAGTTGGGCTGGGGTCTGCGGAGCCTGGGGATTAACCCAGAGACCACTGGTGGTCAGCATGTCTGGCAGTCAGCAGGTTCCTTGTCTTTCTGGGCACTCAATGACGTACTTTTGCTCTGCAGGGTGGCACTAATCCCTGCCTATTCCTTTGGTGAGACAGAACTCTACAATCAGTACATTTTCAGTCCTGGGGGATTGGTCAACTGCTTCCAGATGTGGTTCCAGAGTCTAGTACACGTCTACCCTTGTGCTTTCTATGGGCGTGGCTTCACCAGGAACTCCTGGGGCTTTCTGCCCTATGCTCGGTCTCTAACCACCGTTGGTGAGTGGGCCCTTCTGCTAGCAGTCTTGGTCCAGGATCCAGGATCCTGTTCAGAGGCTGTGCTCAGAGGCAGAGAGGCTGGCTAAGATGAGTGACAGGTTGGGGGTGAGGGTGGGGAGAAGGTGGGCTTGAGGCCTGGAGCCCATTCTGAGCAGTGAGCTACTCTGATGCTTTTCCTTTTTCTTTCTCTGTCTTTTCTGGCAGTCGGGGAGCCTCTATCACTGCCCAAGATTGAGAACCCAAGTGAGGCAGATGTGGCTAAGTACCACGAGCTCTATATTGATGCCCTACGTAAACTGTTCAACGAGCATAAGACCAAGTTTGGAATCTCAGAGACCCAGGAGCTGGAGATAATTTGACATACATCCCCATCAGGCTCACAGCCTTGCTGGAAGGTGAAGAAATGGTGGGAACAGAGTACAAGTTCTATTTGGGCTTCCACTCCTAATGACCGGACTTCATCACAGGGTGGTGGTGGGGTGTCCATCTGCTTGTTTTTGTACTCATTTTCTGCACTTCTTTCTCTTAGTGCTTCATCTTTCCCCTGGGGATATGGGGAGATGGCCATACAAGGTCCTAGGGGAGAAGTGCCCTGAAGGCTTCCTCATGGGGGCACCAGAATTGAGGAAACCAGTGGACAGAATAAAGTGCCACCTTCTGATATTGTATCCCAACTGGTCTGTTTTGGGGGGATTCTGTGAGGTCCCCACACATATCTTCCTTTCTCTAACTCTCAAACAGCTCCATCTCCTGGCAAAGAGACTCTTGCAGGATCAGATGCCTTGAGAGCTAGTGGGCTCTGAGTTCAGGCTCTACCACCTTTAAGTCATGAGAATTTTGGTGCATTCACTTCTGAGGCTATTTCCTCATCTGTAAAAGGTGACTAGTAATCTCTCTCCTGCTTATCTCGAAGGCTGTTGAGAAGATCAAATGATATTGGATGTGACTACATTTTGTAAATTAGGGAGTTACACAAAATTACTCTCTCCTAACCATGTTACTCATTTCCTGTCCCTGAGCAAACAGTGCCTGAAGATACATGGCATTTCAGTCTTTAAAAGAATTTTACAGTGTAAGATCTTGTGTTTAAAGTTTAAGTAATCATAGCCCCTCGCCAGCCCTTAGTCCACTCTCAGGGTTCTACCTCATAAGGCTAGGGGCTGCAGCAGGCACAGGCCTTATTAGCTGGACTTTTCTCCAGCAAGGCCAGCACTCGCCTGGCCCCATCTCTGTCCTCTGAGTCAAATGAAGTACCTGGCATCTAGTAGCCATAAAGAACTCTCCTTTTGACTGCTGAGTCGGACTCTTAGCCCAATGGTCGATGTAATGACAAGTTACACAATTTGGCCCATGGGACTCTTGTTCCATCCCTCTTGGGTGGATGCCACCTGCTCCAATGGTTTACCTGTCAGTTTGGTTTAGAAAATACTGTGCACTTACCATGGCATGACATGCTGCCTCTCTCTGCCTTGGGTGCCTGCCTCTTGGGAGCTGTACACAGTGCTCTCTCTCTCTCTTTCTATTGATTCTTGAGCTAGAGATTACATTTTCCCTGAGCTCCCATAAGGTGTTTCTGTTTTCTGGTGCTGGAGATGTAACCCAGGACCTTGTGCATGCTAAAGACAAGGACTATACCCTAAGGTGCTTTTAGACTGTCTCCAGCATTCTTGTGACTGGTTTCCTTTTAAAATACCTCTCTCTAAGGCAGGAGGAGGACCAGCCTGGGTTTCAAAACCCAGTCCACTCATACCTGGCCATTGCAAATTTGTCCCGAGCTATTGTGTGCACATTGCCTAATTGTCACATGCTCTGCCTATACAATAGGGACAGAGACTGCTGGGGTTGTGGGAAGTGTCCATTGGGGCTGTCTCTGAGCTGCTTTACATGACCCTCTTTCTTTTTATAGGCTCTGCAAGGGCTTCTCCGTGCAGAGAAGAGCATGGGTCCAAGTGGTGGAGGCAGCTCAGTAGAATGGAAAGTGTACTGTCCTGGGAAGCAGACCAGGCTGCCATTAGTTAGACAGCCTGGGGTGAGCTACTTGAAATCTCTGAGCATTTATCCCTTCATTTGCAAAATGAGACGATACTTTAGTGAGGAGCCAAATTCTGGATTCCTCCAAGCTGTTTTGGCCCCAGGCCTGAAATATCTGTTATAGATGACATAGTCTCAAGTTGAGGGTAAGTCCATGTGCTGTGTCCCTGGTCCAGGACAATGCTCTTTCCGGTAGGACATCTGTCCTCCCCGACATATGGCTCCAGGAGAAGAGTGAAGGTGATAGGGATAGGGGCTTGAGGGCTGGGGCATAGAAATGATGTAGGGTGCTCAGACTGGAAATTCAGACCACCCCCTCTGCAGAGGATGGAACACAGGGCCTTTGCACTGAGCTATGTCCCACCCCATCCTCCTCTTGAGGTAAGTTTTCATGAAGTCACTAAGTTGACCAGACTAGGCTCAAACTTGTGATTCTCCTGTCTCAACTTGCCAGGGTGCTGGGGTCACAGGCATGCACCACAGTCCCTGGCAGACTATTTTCCCTTCTCATGCTCCCTCTGAAATGGGTGCCTCGATCCTTCCCCCTAGCTTATGTGTGGTATCATTTACAAAGGAGGACCTAAAATGCAGGAAATGTTACAGTCAATTTCAAGAATGGGGGCACTTTATTTGCAAAGAATAAACCATTAATTTACACAAACTTACATCCCAGTTTATATACATTATATATAGTTTATATACACAGTATCTCACACTAGATGCTGACCCCCAAAAGCAGCATTGGGCCTGCTCCAGGCCATTCTCACAGCCAAGTTCAGCCCACCCCATCCTAGCTGGAAGCTCTTTGCATAGATATAACACACCCCAGGAGAGAGCCCTGAAATGGACTAAAAAGAAATATCAGTTCTTTCTCATGCTGTCATGGCCTGGGGTCAGGAGGAGACCTGAGGGAGCACTAAGGTAGCCTAAGGACTTCCTGGCAGTGGGCTAGCCTGGAGCCTTCCAGTCCGGAGGCAGAGCTAGGTGAGTGTCTTGGGAGGAAGCAGAGGTCTAAGGAAGGCTGCAGCTGCTCTCCCTGCCTGGCCAGGCTCCTGAAGGGGGCCACACACTTCCAGCCTTGAGTCTGTGCAGGGAAGAAAGAAGGGGCTATGTAGGATAAGGACTACTCTACTCCTCCTTCGGCTGCTGAGTCTGAGGGCTGAGTTGCTCACTACCTTGAGCAGGTCACCATCCCTCTTGGAGCCTCAGTTTCTGCCTAAGTAACAGAGTTCAACGTAGGTTGGGTTATATCACCTCTAAGGTCCATGTTCACTCAAAATTTCTCTGAATCTATTTGCATCCACTGGAAAGAACACAAAATACATGGACCAAAGCCTCTGTTCACCTCCAAGGTTCCTAGCCCTTTCCTTTAAGCAAAAGAAATTTGGCTCAGGATAGACGAAGGGGAAACAAAGCAAACACTACAGTTTCCAGGGAGCCAGTAGCCCAGCAGCCTCCGACAGCTGCCTTTTGTGCCAGCTTGGCTGTTGAAGCCCAAGCAGCTGGCAGAGGCCCCTGCTAGGCAATCCTCCCTTAAACCTCTGTCATCTGCTTACCCACAGATGATGTTGTCCCATTCTCCATGCTAGCCTTGGCCCTCTGGGAAACTCACATCAGCATAATTGCAAACTATAAATCTATGTCCACAGTCTTCCATCAGTAAACCACTTTACCGCTTCACCCATGCCTTGGCCTTAACAGGGCTCCCTAGCTACCTGTCGCTTCCTTCTCTATCCCTTTCCCTGTAAGATTCCTTTTGAGGGTTCAGAATGAATGAGGGGTCTAGCAGGAACCCTACTTCCCCTACAACTCCACCAATCTGGGTGATTAGGGTTACAATTAGGAAGCCTCTTCTTCCTCTGGCCTAACTCCCATTGGGCTTTAGAAACAGTCCTTTCTTATGTCTTCCCCCCATCCCGAGAGATCCTAGTAGTATCAAAGTTTCTGGGGGGATGGAAAACAAGATAAGGAGTCATACTTAGTACTGGCAGGAAGCGAGCTGACTCCTGGAAGCTGCCTGGAGGGAAACGAAAGGATCTTGCCCACATGTGACGGCTGCTTGTTTTACCAAATGGGTGAAAGAAATGAGGGCCACCAGTTCTGTGGTCTCAGAGGCCTGCTACTTGGACACAGTGGAAGGGTCTCCTTGTGAACATGAGAGATCTAAAGCTGTTCGAAGGAAAACTCTGATTTTTTTTTTTTTTTTTTTTTCACAGAGCATCTGGCAGCCTTGCGAACAGGTATTACCGTCAAGTAATAAAAATGGGCATCTTTGGGTTTCTCCCTAAGACCCTCAGAATGCTAGTTGTGTATTAGCACCTTGACTAGTTCTCTCTTGACCCCAAATGCCACACAGTGCTACAGTGTAAGGGAACAGCTTTGGTGTCAGACCTGGGCAGAAGCCCATGTTTGCGACTTAACAAACACACAGAGCACATTCAAGGCACTGCGCCCCTGAGCCTCACCCAAGTAATGGCATCAGATATCTCTGTCCCGCCCTTTTCAAAGGAAATAACAGAAAGTACTTTCCCAGCTTTAAGAAGCAGTTTTGTCATTTCCTGCTACAACTGCAGACTGTCTTAAGGCACTTTATAGGCACTGTACCTAAAATCAACCTCACCTTGGACTGCAAGGCTGTCATTAACGATCAGTGGAAGCCTGGCCCATGACTTGTGCCCTGACCCTTGAAAGGCCAGTGTGGTTGCTTAGAAAGAGAAGGTTCAGAAAGAAGTGCCTATTGTTCTTGGCACATTTCAGCTACCTGTACAAGGGTGACAATCCCAGTTGTGGGCCAGACCTCGCATCAGAAGATAGGTGGTGCCCAGGTAAAGCACCTGAATGGTCCTAGTGTATGACTAGGTGGGAAGCTTTCGGTCGGGGGAAGGTTTTTGGCACTGAACTAGAGGGCAGAGCCCTGCCTACACCTAGACTCTGGCTGCTCCTAAGCCTGGCTGACGATGCTCTGCCATGGCTTTCTGAAGAAACTTGGTCAGGAGTCCACCAGGCTTCATGATCACTAGGTCTGCAGCAAACTTCGACCAATCTCCTGACTGATTTCCACTTCTTGCCCTTTTAGCCAAGGCACAAAAGCTCTGCTTTGCTGGTGTCCAACCACAGTCTAGTGACAGTGAACCTCTTAGAGCTTTCAGTGACACTAAGAGCCCACTGCAGCCCACATGCCATACATTTGCTACCACTGGTCTAGAATGTAGGAATTTAGGAGGTTATTATGGCAGCTGCCTCTAATTAGACCTTGAAGAGATTTTTGAAGATTATCTAGTCCAACCCCAGGCACAGTTTGATTGGAATCAGCTGAACAATATTTTAATAAATGGAAAATTCTATCGGTGTTCAGGTAAGCTAAAGAATATTTCAGACTCATTTGAGCACAGGTCCCAGGTTAAGCACCTGTCTCAGACAGAGGTAGGCTCCGTGTAGAAAGATGACAGGAGTTGTAGTCAGGCGGTGGTTGGGAAAGGGCCCTAGGGAGTTTTGTGAGCATAGAGCATAGCATAGCTGTAAACAAAGTGAGAGACATAAGGCCCCAAGTGCAGATTCAGATTCTTATGCAGGCAGGGTTGTGACCATTCCTGCAATGGTTCTGAAAGTGAGCAAAGCTCCTGACTCTGGAGCCCAGACAGCTGTCATGGTGTGGCTTGCAGGCTGAGCGGGAAGAGCGCTCTAATTCTCCTGCAGGTTACAATGCAGAGGAGCAAGAATGCTTTCACCGTCAAGAATACCTGCCAGGCAGCTTTCGCCCCTGGTCTCCGCCACAATCATCTGTCTACTACCCACGCCCCATCCTCTCAGGCTGCAACCTAATGCCACCCCATCCCTAGCCCTAGCCAAGAGAGAAGTTGCAGCACCCTTGGGGTCAGATGGTCACTCCCAGGGTCCAGAGTGCACTTTCACTTTCTCTGGCCTGATGCTCTGGATCCTTGCGTTAGTGCAACAAATGATAAAACGGACAACAGGGACCTTGGGGTTGAAGAGTCATGCCTTAAGCCAGTCAACGTGGAGCCAGAGAAGGTTGTGCTTCCTGTAAACCCTGGGGCCCCATCAATTCTCCTGATGACTCAAGGTCATTCTGCAAAGTCAAGTAGGCCTTGCCATCATGGAATCGCTTGGGAATAAATAGCACTGGGGCATTTCTCTCTGGCTGCAATGCCAATGTACCTCACTCCACAGCAGCACTTAAAGGTTCTGGGAGTCCTGGCTCCCAAACCTGGGGCAGGGGCATGGGTAAGGGCAAAATGGGGGGTATCTAGGATGCAGGGGCTTCACCCAGCCTGATGGCCCCAAAGAATGTGGTGTGCTTGCTCATATTGATGGAGATGTCAGCATGCACCATCTTCACGGCGATCTTCTGCCGGGCCTTGAGGAGGCAGACGCCCGCAGTATAACAAGTGTTGTAGTTGGTCTTGCCTGTCTCAATGCTGCGGGTGCACTGTAGGAAGGGCTTCTCATCTACCACCACCTCATAGCTGGCGAAGTCAGTGAAGTTGATGTAGTAGACCTGGGTGAGAGGCAACAAGAAGGGATTGGGGAAGAGAGGAAAGAGAGGTTGGGGGCCCTCCCCTGTGGTGATCAGACAGAACCTTCTCTGATGAGCTGCCAATATACCATGGCGGGCAGAGCCACATGAAGGCATGCAAGAGGGCCAACAGTCAGAGCAGAGTTAACAGGCTCATATGCTGTCCTACCCGTACTCCATGGAGCTCAGATGGTTATGCAAAGCCTTTCTCACAACAGCTACCTGTCACAAACTCCGGGAGGACAAAAACTTTGTCTTGTTTGCCCTGTCATCATACCCCATCACTCTAGCTTTGGCACAAAGCAGTGTTCAGCACACCTCAGATGCTCAGTGTTCCAGACACAAACTAACTTTCAACTTCAATCCGCAAAGACAATTTGTGACTCACCTTAGAAGTCACAGATCCCAGTAAGCACTCGCCACTTCTGCCCTCTTTAACAGAAGCTCCCTCAGCTTGCAGCACCCCTTCCTACAGCTGAACCCTTCTCCCTGTGTCACAGCACCTCTGACTCCTCCTCATTTGATGCCTGAAGAAACAGATCCAGGGTGATGGACAACTACCTAACACAAATGATATAGAATGAAATTGGAGGAGCAAAATTCAGTCCCCTGATTTTACTCTGAGGCCAGTAGGAAGCAAGAACCTATGGTCCACAGATTGGTGTCATGAGGATTTTCCCAGCCTGTGTGAACCACTTCTGAGGTCCTCTTATGTCCAGAAAATTAGTTTTTCCATCTTTTGTTACCCTTAGACATCACACAGCACCCCAGGCTTCGATTCTTTACCACCAAATGGAGCCTAGTCTGTAGAACATTGGTATTATAGCCACATGTCCCATAGGAGTTGAGCTCTTTATCTGATGCGGTACATCACTTATGAGAAGTGACTTCCTCCCTGACCCATTTGGGTAGATGCAGTGTATTTGGGTCCATGTAATCTAGTGGGTCAGGATCAAGCTATGCTAGAATGCTCAGTGTGCCCAGCAAATGACTGTTAGCCCACCTTCTCTGGCCACTGTCCTGTAAAACCCATCTGTTGGTCCTGTCCAACCACCTGCTTTCTGCCTGCCCCAGAGTAGCTCCAACCTTTACCTTTTCCCCAACCTTTACTGAGGAAAACCATGAGGGATAAAAGTGGGTGAACATTGGCAGACCTGGGGAGTGGGCCCAGGGCAGGAAAAGGACAAAGGCAAAGGGAACAAGTTCTGGGAGAATAACAGCAGGAAGGGGGCAACAATAGCAGAAACAGAAAGACAGAGAAACAAGGGGGAAAAAGAGGAAGGGAAGGCAGTCAGAAATCTTTTTGAGGTGGAGAGAAAGCTCGAAGGAGTACAATTCCTTTTAATGCTCAAGCTAGCAGTGTTGTGGGGAATCATTCCCAGCCGCCCAGGAACTGGTTTTCAAAAACTTTGCTGAGACCAAGTTCAAGTTTGGCAGTAGAGACAAACAGTTCAGAAGGGGAAACAAGAGCCTGGGACTCTGCACCAGGGAATCAGCAGGGTATGGAAAGGGCCTCTTTTCACAATTTTTCAATATTTGTTTAGGGAAAAAAAGAAAAAGAAAGAAACACCCTCCCCTCAATTCCCTCCCAATCGGTGCCCCCAAACCCCTGCCAAATCAGGAAGTTTGTCATTGCGTGGTTTTGGCTGGCTCCACAGTGCCCCCCTGTGGCCTGCACCAGGTCTGCGTTTTGGATATAAGAAGCGTTAGGCCTGAGACAGTACTCACTTCTACCTGACTATAGATGAAGTAGGTGCCGTCCACCAGTACCTCCAGCTCCCCACTGCGGGGATGTAGCTTAAACACCTTGGGGTTCATGGTGATGCGAGACCAGTCATTGAGCACTCCACCTGAAAGATCTCAGTATGAGAGAAAGGCAGTCACTCAGTATGTGTCAGAATACTCTGGGCAATAGAAAGAATGCCAAGCAGTACACAACCCCCATCCCTGCCCCGGGTGACTAAGAAGACCCAGAAGGCCAAGCTTCAAGAAGAGCATCTGGAAGTACAGTAGCTGTGCTCTTTGTAAAGTGCATGCTGGGCCTGCCTCAGGGATCCTGGGGTCTGTTTTTCTGTCTTTATCCCTTCTATCCTGACTCCTCCATCTGGAAGGGTCTTTTTACTCAACATTTTCTAGCTGGAATTTGGTAGGAAGATACCAAGAAGAGTGGGCTCACGCCCTATTTTCTTCGTTGTTATGGGGCTTGCACAGGCAAAATTCAGACTCTGAGTGGCAGGCTAGTTCTTGTTATTCAATTTTGCTTCCCCAGCCATAGTGCCTGAATCTCTCTCCTGTCTCACAGCTTCTTGACTTTTCTTCTTTTCCTTGAGAGATTCCTTTTTATGGTTCCACTACACTTACTCCTTTCTAGAAAGCCTCACAGGCCCCCCCAGAAAACCACTCAGCCTGATGAACAGTGTATCTGGAGGATGTTTAGGGATAGGGGTGGTTCAAACTGCACAGTAACAGGCCCACAGGTGAGAGGGATCTTTATAGACCAGGGAATAGATTGCCAGGTTGTGGTACAACCAGCCAGGAGGATAGGCAAGGATATCTAGGAGCTGAGGCACCCTTAGCAAAGTATCTCTATTTTAGCCTTACCCCAAACACAGGAAGCCTGTGCATAATGGTAGAGGAAAATTGCCCTTTCAATTCTTCAGGAAGAGGGAGCTGCTTCCTACCACATGTGAAGAAAGCCCAACCCTCTGGAGCCTTTTCTCTCTCTGCCACCTATTCTTTACCTAAGAGCTTATGTTCTTAACATTCATCTATGCCCAGTCTCAGGAGGCCTGGCTCTCTGAGGTGTGAGAAAAGAGGCCTACTTCTCACTCCTTCAGGACTTCTACTGGGACTAAAGGTCAGCTTGGACCACCACAGAGATTAGAACAGTCTTGCTCTGTGGTAGTGGAACAAAATCAGTAGCTGCTGGCACAGAATAAATACTGAGCCCACCACTGTAGACATCCAAACAAATCTATATCCTGTCCCAGTCCTCCCTGGACAGTGATCATGGCTCACCTAGAGCCCTGGAGCCCATTGCACCTGGCCCCCAGCAGGACTGCTAGGCCTTTGGTGCCATTCTTCTCTTATTAATACTTCTGAGGCTATTAAGTCAGGCAGCCAGGGGGTAGTCAAGAGGGCAGCTAAGTCCAATCATTAAAAAGCTCAACACAGCCAGTTCAGAACTGACGGGCTCTTAATGCACAAGCTGGCCTTATGTAACAGGGTTCTTAACCCTCATCTACTGTTTCCGCAATCACAAACCCTCGCATCCACTCTAAGCTCCCTAAGCATCTGGCACCTTGGCTAGCTTGCTGCTTCCCAAGGCTCCCGAGGTTCATGTATCTTAGATTCTGGGCCCCATGTGGACCGGACATTATTTCAAAATGCTGTTCTTTAATAAATGTTCATGTGTCTTTGTGGAAAAAAAATGAACCTAATCATTCTGTGGAGTGTACATAAATTGAAGTTGTGTAGCACAGTATAAGAGTTAGGCAGGTATAATTTTGAATATCAGCTCCTCAACTTATCTCTGCAATCCTAGGCCAGTTAACTAACCTCTCTGGGCTTCAATTTCCATCTCTGTAAAAAGGAGCTGATACCTACCTCATAGGGTGATTGTGAGGGTCAAATGAAACAGGAGACAAAGGGAACACATCGGAAACTCTAAAGTACCACACAATAAAAGGCAGCATGATTTATTATGGTATTATCCAGTCTCATGGGGACTCTACTTCCTCATCTTTTAAATGTAGGGATTATATTCAATCGGTGTCTCCCCACCTCAAGACACATGTCCTCCCTTTGGATAGACACTATTTATACATCCTGGAGATTATGGTATGCTCCCCTTCCCTGAGAGAAATCCTCCCTCTACCCATTTTCTGTGTAGAGCCATCAGACAAGAATTCAATTTTACATAGATTTGCCTTTTCCAATTTATACTATGAAAATGCTCATCAAGCTACATATATCTCCATATAACTCTGCTCTAGACTCCATCCCTCAAGAATACTTAGGTAGATGATTCAAGTTCCTTTCAGCTCCTTCACCAGGGGATTCTAAATGCAATTTGGGTGCAGCTGGGCTTGATGCAGTTACACAGGCCAGCCAGCAGAGGGCAAAAATGGAGCAGAGAATGGCCTCCTATGCCAAGGGTACCTCAGAGGCCTGAAAGGAACTCAACTGGGTGATTTTTTGAGGCTGAGGATGAGGGAAGGGAGAAGCTCCTTTTAGAGGAAGCCCACTTTGATTCTTACCATTCTTGACTTGAATTGCTGACCCCTGGCCCTGCAGATGCACCACGGCCGGCTGGGAGAATAAGGATAGAGTAGTCACTGTCACGGCTGCTTGCTTGGCCACAGGTTTCTGAGTTTCTATCCCAGGTTTCTAGTTTCCTTTTGTATCCCAATCCCAATCCTTTTTCTCTGTCATGGGATGTTAGTGACTGTATTTTTACTAAAGGGTAATAGGATTTTGTGGCTCTGCTAGTTCCTTGCTACGAGACCTCAGCCAAATGTACTGCCTCTAAGCCTCATTTCCCTAACTGTAAAATAGGGATTATAAGAATCGCTGTCTGGCCTGTCTCAGAGGGACATTTGAAGATCAAATGAGGTGATGGATATAAAACTGCCCCACAAAGCCATGAAGCACTGTACAGCTGTGTAGATTTACCACTGTGGCCAAACAGCTGTAGTGCGGCGGCTATGATGAGACAAGGCAAGGCCAGGCAGCAGAACCTGCCAATAGAGACAGATTAGGAAGCTCAAAAACTAGGGAGGGGCCTTTCAGCCCTTTAACAGAGAAGCCCAGGCTGGGCTTGGCCTGGAGCTGCTTGGCTGTTTTTCAAGGACATATTCTTAGACTTCTCAGCTCTTATCCCAGTCATCTGAGTACCAACAGGGTGGCTGGGGAGTTGACAGCCCAGGTGAACAGGCCTGATGGGCAGTTCATTTCCGCTTGCTACTGAGCAAGGATGTGATGACCCTCACTCTCTTTGTGGAAGGAAGAAAAATGGTTCTGGCAAGATTAGGTTCCCTTAGCTAATGGCAGGCCTTGGGGCAAAGTTGTCCCATCCATAGACATAGGAAGAGGCTGTGAATGAAAACCTCAGAACCTCTAGGGCATCCTCACAAAATAAAGCCTTAGAAAATTTCACTGGGAACTGACTTAAAGGTATCTTTAAGTCTGTAGCCTTCCCTCCTCCCCAAGAAGCGCGCCATCACCAGCCAACCTGGTTTTCTCGAGTTCCAGCCTTATCAGCAGCACCTGCAAAATAAGATAGTACAATCAGAGGGCATTTTCTTTCTACCGCCCTTTATCCAGACCTTAGCATCCAGTGGCCCTGAGCCTTGCTCCCTGCAGCCACTCTTATCTAAGCTTCTTCCTCAGGGCTTAGAGCTGAAGGGAGAATCCAAGTACAAGGCCAGATTCTTGAATGGGAAAGGACACCTTTTCTTTCTCCTTGCTATCCCTGACTTCATCTTGGGGGAGCAGCCCAAGGGAGGGAAGGTGGTCTTTTGCCAATACAAACCCAAAGCAAGCCTCACTGAGCAACAGTGGAGGGCAATAAGAAGTGTGCAGGAGACAATGGCACTTGCTTCTTCTAGTCTGTTCCCATTCTGTTGTCTTCAGAGACTCATTTTTTTTCAGTAAGTTTATTGGTACATTTAAGGTATACAATATAGTGACATTCATCATTGGGAATTTGTACCTTTACATATCTTGGTTCTTAGTTTCCGTATTCCCCTGCCCACTGTTCAACCCCTCCCTATTTACAGAGAGTCATTTGTAAAGATCTTATTTCTTTAATTGTCTCTCTTCTCCTCTAGGAAATACTGTATGAGAACAGGGACCACTTAGCCATATATCTTTTTCTACACAGGAAGTGCTCAATTAATATTTGTGGAATGATTGGATTAAGGGGGAGGCCTAATTCTTGTCTCTTGTGGCCATGGTAACACTCTTAGACCTATTTAAATTACAAGTTAGAGAATGTGAGTCCTGCTGCTGAATTTTGGATCTAGAAAAATCAGCTTTAAAGAGTCCATTTCTTTAAAACTCCAAGATACAGGATGGAAGCAGGAGAAAGAAATAATTGACATAAGGCTAGGCATTCTGACTCCTATCAAAATAAGGCAAGTTTAGATCTACAGCCATACATTTTTGCTGCCCTGTGGGGCCCTGAAGAAAGTTGCAGAAAAATGAATGGTATTTAAATAGGCAATGTGACAGGGCAGTGATCTAGTTCCAGAAGCACTTGGTTCTGGGACAGGACAGCCTTGGTCCTTGGGTTTGCTGCATCCACAGCTTGAGTGATTTATAAATTTCCAACTACTTGATCATCAGGGACTGTTTGTGTACATCTATGAGAAAGACACTTCATAGTTCCTGGAAACTATCTTAAGGCTTATCATTGTGTTCAGTCCCCAACATTCCTCCCCATAGTCCATTGCCATGTAAACATCAGTATGTGGAGCTAGATGCTGGCACTCTGAGCAGACCAAATCCATCGTCCATAGGAATGCCAATGAACCACCAGGGCTTCTGTCTCTGGCTCATATGAGTTTACTACTGGTCCATAATAGGGAGGCCTAGAGTAAGGGAGAAATTATGATGGAAGTGGTGACACGGGGCAAGAAATGGTGGTACAAACAAATTAGGGCAGGTCAGGGCCTATTGGTTTGTTCAATTCCTAGCTCTATACTGGGCAAGGAGACCTGCATTTGTTATTGCACAGCAACCCCAGCACTACTGTTTGACACTGCTCCCAGGGTCAGCTATTCTTGTTCTCCAAAAATATTAAGTTCTTAGGTGGGTGAAGAGACAGGGGAACTCACCAGAAGGTCCCTGGAGACCAGGGGGTCCTTGAGGACCAGGGGGACCAGGAGGACCGGGTGGTCCCATAACGGTGGTTCCTGGAATTCCAGGAATCCCTGGAATCCCTGGGGGTCCCTGAGGTCCTGGAGGTCCTGGAGGACCTGGGGGACCATTGGGCCCAGGTGGCCCTGTCTTCTTTCCTGAAAAACAGGAGTCAGTGTTACATCTATAGTCATTTATTGCCAAGAGTATACTGTCATGGATATATTATTGGGAGTTCTAGAAACTTCCAATGACACAAAGTCAGCCCTCTGAGAATTCCTGCTAAAGAGCTGGATATTTTTATCACATATAGTTCCCTCACAGCCAGATTTGAAGATATAGAAATAAATGGCCCTCAAGGATCTCACCTTAGTGGGGAAACAGTCACAGTCACAGGACAGTAGAAGTACTATGCTAGTATAGGGATCAAATGCTAAATAGGTCAGGGAAGACTTCAAAAAGGAGGTTATATTTCAGCTGAGTCCAATGGATGAAAAATACCAAGTAGTCAGATGTATAGGTCACTTTATGGCTCTTTTTAGAATTAAGCTATTGGTGATGAGTTGGACTTTCATGTCAATTCGCCAGTTTTGTGGATTTGATGTGGATAACAAGAGGAAGCTGGACAGCCTGGCCCCATTAGCTTGAGGAAGATTCCTATAGGAGTCAGGACATGCATGCAGGAGGTGGGGTGCAGATGGGGCCAGCGCTAGTTGGAAATGAGTGATGGGAAGGAGTTTTGGAAATGAGGGATGGAAAGAGAGAAAGAGAGGGAAGGAGGGAGAAATGGGGAGAGAGAGAGAGAGAGGGAGGGAGGGAG